CAGTCCATGAAAACTGCTCCTATTGTTGATTCAACAATATCTGCAAGGTTCTTTGGAGCATCTACGAGACCATTGGAATGCAGCGGATAGTGCGAAATCGCTCTGGTGAATTCTCGAATCTGTAAATTTTCAACACAACTGTTAATGATAACAAATCCAAAATTTTGAAGTTTTGTTCCTTTGAAAGAAAGCAATTAGGTTCACATCAAACAATGTGCAGGGTTGGCAAATTCTAGAACCCAAAAACGTATAGATAACGACATATAAGATTGTGACTTGTGGTTTTTTGAGACTCCCATGCCTTAAAGTCATGCCGTATAAGCCAATAATGCAGATTAAGACAAGAAACCTAATCGTTGAAGATATTAATATACTAATCACGGCAATTAAATTGACTAAACAAAATTCCATACGAATATTTCCAACAACAACATGTTATCAAATTCAACTTTCCTGTTGATACCTGCAAAAGCACCATTAGCACTTATCAAAATTGACATTGATTATCGTCAAAATCCATGTCCAATAGAAAATATAGGATCCAAGAGTTTTAAGCTTTTACTGCCCTATCATCACTTACTTGTTCTTCAAGCAAGGGTTTCTTGTGCCGCAGGTAGCGGTGCAACCCGTGTTTGATAGCCACACGTGCAAGCTTCTCAGTATCGACGTTGGCTGCCCTGAGCCGGGTCAACCTGCCCGGTGGCAAGCCCGGGTACAAATTGTATTGTTCTCTGCTGAACAACAAATTGAGCACAGCGTCCCCAACATACTCCAAACGCTCATAGGAAGAGGCAGAGCACTCTGTGGACACAAAAGAAGAATGTGTAAAAGCTTCTTTTAACAAAACCTTGTTGTTGAAGCTATAGCCTATGATCTTCTCCACTTCTTCAAGATTTGGCTGAGCCTCCTCATCAGTCAACGTCGTTGACTTTTCAGCCTCTGAAGACAAGACTTCGTTCATATGAAGTGTTTGATATTCTTCTGCTTGTGCTCCCATGGTTGGCATGAACAACAGGTCATGAGAGGAGATATATATAGATTAGATTATGAAGCGTGGAGATTTGCTGCAAAGCACTTGGTTATATACATAAATGGTCGGCACGCCTTTGTTTATGTGATATAATTTGGAATTAATTAAAACAAAATTTGGCAATTAGATTTGGAATATATTAATACTAGGATTAGGAGGCTGGCAGCTAACAAGGAAATATCATAGGCGGCTTTGGCAATATATGTCGGTTATTGGTGATTAAGATATGCGGTTGCTGGACGGCAGAAGAGTAAACTGAATTTTGACACATTTGGTTAAAATGGATAATCTTCTCACAGAGGAGATATCGATTACTTAAGGACATCCAATATCTTAAAAGTTGTGATTTCTCTTCAAGGGAAAAATGTTTCTCTATCGATGTTGTTATCTCGTTTTCTTAAGGTCATCTCGTAAGTTGAAATAACTTTCAGTGCTTAGTTACGTTAGTTATATTTATATATAATCGGCACGTACACAATTTTTTCTTCTCCTACCATAGTACCATATACAAATGTGTGATCGTATGAGTTGACATTTATTTTTGTCTAATTCAAACAATAATGAGTTATGCATATATTAACATTACATAAAGAAGGAGTTTGTTGCTGAAGCGGTTAACATCATTTGTTCTCTTAAATATCGCTTGTATATAAAATAAAATAAAAACATTACATGGAGACTCACATTTATGCTAGGAAGGGGGAAGACAATCTTGAATTATGAAAATCATTTTTGTCTTTAACTAGTAGTATCTTAGATAACATACTTCTCGAATATAATGCCTCCCCTAGTGTATGAGACTTGATTTTTGGAGTAGGTGAATCGCATTAATTGTTTTTGGTTACCAAAACTTGAATTATGACATTATCACAATCTGGAATTTGTATATTGCCAAGTTGCCAAGCGGGGATATTTTTATTTTCTTCTCCAAATGGATTTGGGATTCAGGATCTTAGATTTATGTCTGGTTTTGGATACCATGCCAGCAAGTCAGCTTGACCAATTCTAGTAGAGCACGGCAGAGTTGGAAATTAAATGGCTAAATCACACAAAATGGCCCTGAACTATATTCATTGGACACCAGGGAAAGAGTCTGAGCAGTGAAAGTAGACAAAAAGGGCATCCAGAATGGCCATTGGCTAAGGCCATCGGTCAAATAATCAACAAAGTGCAGTCTTGTTGCTCAAGAAATTGAATAAAGAAAACGAAGAATCTAGAAATGACATCACATACTTTTCAAACTCTCGAGTCAAGTCATAACCATCATGATTCATGTTGCTTGAAGCCAAAGAACAAGATTATTTTCAAACTGTTTCTTGGGAAGTCAAAGCCATCATCATGCATGTTGCTTCTAGTAAATAAAAGATTTCGATAATGAAAATCAATCATCTTTTGCTCTCGACTTTGGCATTGAGCATCATTAATAGTTTCTTTAACAACTTTGGAATGCTAAAATAGGAGAGTCACATCATCAAAAATCTCTCCAATAACCTTGTCAAACTCAGTCAATTAAAGGTGCAACATCTTTCTCTCTCTTTAGGATTGATAAATTAACTTTGGCTTTTCAAAACATTTAATTTTACTTTGAAAAAACAAAACTTATTTTGAAAATATTAAAAAATTGTATAAATAAATAGACATTCTTCACATGTTTTCGTATTTTTCATTTTTTTTTTTTCCATATCATTGCATTAATTGAATTGAAAAGTCTCTTTTGGCATAAATTATCAAAGTAGCAAATAAATCTTTTCAAATTGCCTTGTAGGTCAACAAACTATAATTTGAAGATTAGTTTACTACTACCATTGGAGAAAACCAATCACCAATCGCCAATCCCTAACCCTAGTCCCAATCAAATCATTATCGGAGGCTTAGCATTTCAAGATGCACAGATATTTTCTTCGAACCCCCAAAAAAGAAGAGGGAATCAAACCCTGAAGAACCAAGCTTTGGGAGGCGGGCCTGCTTCTAAACTGTTTGATCCCTTTCTTTTTTAACCTGTTGGGGCCTGTATGTCATCGTGGTTTTTGTTTGTAGTTGTACTCTTTTCGTATAAAAAATAAAATAGAAAACCAGAAGAACAGCAACTAACAAGTAGAAGGTTTCCCACCATCTGATTGCTTTCATATTTTTCTTTTGCACGCAAACCATTTTCACAAGGAAAACCAGTAAATCCATATGCTCTGTTTTTCTTTTTGGTTTTATTACCACCATAATACGCTTCCTTTTTTGGAATTAATGCAAAGAATTCATGTTTTCGCATGAGAATGGACAAATTTGTATATGAAAAAATAAGATGGTTTTCTTCTTACTCTTGCCACTTGCACTAAAAACTTAACTTCCCGAGGGCAAGATTTGAAGGAACTTTTATCTTTGCTTTGTCCTTGGACGAGGGCGGTTTGGTTCGGCTGTCCCTTTGGGTACTCTCCTGACTTGGCTTCTGTTTCCATCCTGAACTCTTGGTTAACTGGTTTTCTGAGCAGTACCTTTGTTGATGGGGATCAAAGGGATTGGGGAATCTCCCCTATCATGTTTTGCTCCTGGGAAATTTGGAAGGCTCGTTGTAAGGCGTTATTCAAGGATCTTAGGCCCTCTCCTCAACTGGTTCTCTCCCAATCCCAAGCCATCAACTGTTTGGAGGAGTTTTCTTGGGCCAAGGATTTGGCAACTTGCGTGTAAGATCCTACATCGACCAATGGAGAAGGGTGATATGCCTTATATGTACATGTCCGCCTCCATCTAGCACGAGGCCTTTTGGGAGCTCACTGGCTTCGGAGTCACGGGAACTCCGAAGTTAAGCGAGTTGGGGCTAGAGCAATCCTAGGATGGGTGACCCACTGGGAAGTTGCTCGTGAGCTCTTAGAAACAAAACCGTGAGGGCAGAGAGGAGGGCCCAAAGCAGACAATATCGTGCTACGGCGTAGCGTTCAGGGATGTGACAATTTGGTATCAAAGCCACTCTACCGTGTGGTGCTAGTGTGCCGACGAGGACGTCGGGCCCCTAAGGGGGGTGGATTGTAAGATCCCACATCGACCAACGGAAAGAGGGTGATGTGCCTTATATGTACATGCCCACCTCCATCTAGCACGATACTTTTTGGGAGCTCACTGGCTTCGGAGTCACGGGAACTCCGAAGTTAAGCGAGTTGGGGCTAGAGCAATCCCATGATAGGTGACATACTGGGAAGTTGCTCGTGAGCTCCCAGAAACAAAACCGTAAGGGTGATGTGACATTGCGCCCCCCCTTATTAACAATGGTGCTTCTACTAGATCGCACTGGTCCGCTTCACCTTTCCCTTTTGTCAAAATCAATATTGATGGCGCATGGGAGGCCCAATCGGGTTTGGGGGTTGTTGAAGTGGTTATCCGGATCATATTGGCTCTTTCGTTGGTGCCACTACGTAACACTATAATCTCTCATCTGCGGCAGAGTGTGACGCCCGTGCTGCGATAGTGGGCCTTTCCTTTGCCTCCTCCTTGCAATTGTAGCACATTGTAGTGGAAACTGATTGTTTTGAGCTTTTCTCGTGTGTTAAGAATGGTTCTGCAACTAGTAACTGGAGGTTTTATCCTTTCCTTGCTGAATTTCGTCGCTTGGAATAATCTTTCATCCAATGCTATTGGAACTGGATTCGTCATGAAGCTAACGGAGCCGCTGATACTGCCGCCAAGCTAGCTAAATGGAGGTTGCGCTTTTGCAATTGGGTTAATACTCCCCAACCCTCCTTGGTCTCTGTCCTATCGCGAGATGGCCTGCCTACTCCTCCTTAATATTTGCTTGGCGGTTGCTGCGGATCTGGTGTTCAATGTTTTTCTTTTGTTTGTTTGTTTTCATTGTTGTTAGCCTCTTTGCTTTCCCCTGTGGTTAGCTGCTCCTTTTCTGTTTGTTGCTTGCTTGTTTGGGCTTTCTATGGAAGTATCTATTTGATAATATAAAAAAGTGATATATATACAATTTACAAAAGACTCCCACAATGCTCAATTATATATGCATGTACAATGTCTTTGATATCTCATATTCGGTGTGTTCACAACAAAAGAATTTTCCTAATCCTAAACACAAGCAACATTGCACTTCTAGATTTCTACCTTTCCGACATCATATTGACCAGAGCGTCATCAGCGCAACCACGATAGATCCCATACTTGGACGCATGTCTTTATTCTCATGCGTGCATGCTTTGGCAAGTTAGGCCATCTGCACCAGAAAATCACCGTAAGTTATTTTTACATTGATATCTAGAGATAAATTATAATGTTTTTTTCCCTTCTGAGAAATTATTTCACCTTGCGCACTGAGTCAAGTGGATAGTTGTCTCCAAGACCAGGGTCAACCAATTTCCGGAGGTCTTCTTTAGGATCGGGTTGATTAAGAACCTCCTCAAACTGTAAAAAGTAAAATTACAATAAAAATAGGCAAAAAGTCACTTTTGGTCCCTCTTGTTTGTCACTTTTACCACTTTGGTCTATGTGGTTTCAATTTGGTCAATTTTGTCCCTGTGGTTTCAATTTGAAACAATTCAAAGACAATCCTCAATTTCTGTCAAATTTTTTAAGGGCTAACGACAAAACACACCCTTGATGTTTGGGGTCATTCTCAATATGGGCCCTTGACTTTTGATTTCATCAATTTATACCCCATTGTTTTCACATATGACCAATTTAAGTCTTCCGTTAAGTAGATTGTTTGGTCAAACGTTAACTGCTGACGTGTCAATTGTAGGATCCACCCACTATCCAATCCCCAATTTTTTTATAAATAAAATAATAAAATAACATAAAATTTTAAAAAAAAATTAACTTTTAAAAAAAGTCTACCCATATGCACAACCTTCCTCACCCCTTCTCCAACGAACAGCGTTCCCCACGGCCTCTCTGACGCACAACGTTCACCCCACGAAAAAAACTTGCCTGCACCGGGGATAAGACTACAGTCCTATCCCCCTCCAATCAAGTCTGCCATGTGTCCAATTTTGTCAGAAAATGGACAAGTGGCGGGCTGCGATTGGAGGGGGATAGGAGTCCTATCCCCGGTGCAGGTAAGTCTCTCTCGTTCCCCACCCCCTCTCCGACGCACAGCGTTCCCTACCCCCTATCTGACCACAGCCTTCCCCACCCCCTCTCTGACCACAGCCTTCCCCACCCCATCACCGATGTACAACCGCACCCACCCCAGCCCCTTCCCTCTCCTCGTCCCTGTCTCTCTCTCGGCAGCGTAGAACTCAAAGAGGAACTTTGAAATACACGACTCAAACAACAATCCCCATTTCCCTATTTTCTCAATTCCCTTTCTTTCTCTGTCTTTCTTCTGTGGACTGAATTATTGCAAATTTATGATCCATACCCCAAAACCCATCAACCCATTTGCCCAAAACTAGGATCTCCTTCCTTCCTTATGCCTTGTGATTGATTTGGTTCCCATTGAAGAAGGTTGAAGAAGAAGAATGTAAGGAACAGGAGAATTGGGTTTCTATGTCACGCGGACCCATTTTCATGGATCACGTTCTTATGGTCTTGCGCGAGATTTAAGGAGGAAAGAGCGACCATCTAAGCCTTTTCAATTTCTTTGATGCTGCGAATCTTGGATACTTGGACTATCCCCAAATCGAGGCCGAGTTATCTGCGCTTCAAATTCTGCCATAGTACAAGTATGCCAAGGATCTTATGAAGGTTCGATTATCTGAAGTTTCGAAGGTACATGGATGACAAGGAACTTGAGATGTATCGTATTTTTCAGGCATTGATGGTGTAGCCGTGTGTCGGCGAGAGGGGGTGGGGAACATCGGGGAGGTGCTGAGTTGTTGGGCACGAAAGGGGCTGGGATCTGGGTAGATTTTTATTTTATTTTATTTTATGTGATTTTATCATTTTATATAATTGATTTAGTTTTTTTTAATATAAATTGGTAGGTCATACAATGGACACGTCAGCAGTTAACGTGTGAACAAATGGTCTACTTCACGGAAGACTTAAATTGGTCATATGTGAAAATAATATGGTGTAAATTGATGAAATTGAAAGCTGGGGCCCATATTGAAAATGACCCCAAACATTAAGAGTGTGTTTTGTTGTTAGCCCTAAATTTCCATTACTTGTATAGGGGCAATTCGGTCTACAAATTATTAACAAATTTATTCCTTTTAAAAATAAATTAAAAATTAAAATAAAGCCTTTTTCTCACCTTGTCCTCCCAACCCCAACCGTACATCCAGTCCCCACCCAACATCCACAACGCCCACCAACAGTCCCCACCCAACCCTAGTCAGCCACCACATCCCTGTCACCCAACCTTAGTTAGCCACCACCCCAGCCACCCAATCCCGCCCAAGCAACCAAATCGCCCTAAAAAAAGAAAAAAATCCAATAGATGGGAGTCGTCGAAAAAGGCGCAGATGAGAAGGGGGTCGAGATCAAGCATGGAGGAGGTGATCTTGAGGGTGGGGAAGGCCTCGACGGAGGCCTTGGCGTCTCCTCCTTTTTCTTCATCTCTCTCCAAAAACAAAAGAAACAAAAATGTCCAAACGATGGATTCAATGAGTTTCTGCCACCAACGATTGCCGTCGTCGGATCGGTTCCTCAGCTTCTTCTCATTATTGTCGCCCTCCTCTGCCACCACCGATGAGGAGCTCAACGAGGCCGATATCTTCGTCGTCGTAGAAGCCCAGCCGTTCGATTCCGAGATTTTCTCAGTCTCATCCCGTGCCGACTTCGAGAAATTTCCAGAGCTTGGCTCCGATGAAGGCTCCCGTGCTGTCCCAGGCTGTAGAGGAGCATCGGAGAAACGACAACCTTGCTGATGTCGTCGATGATGATGGAGATGAAGAGATGCTGCCTCGCACAAGCTCGTGGGAAGAAGAAGAATCCATGAGCTCCATGGGTGCGTTGATAAAATTTTTGGAAGAGTGTTGAGGGCATTTTCCCTTGTGTTTGGTCGGAGAAGAAAGTTTATGGATGGTGGGCAATGGCTAGGTGGTAGTCAGTAGATGGTGGTTTTTGGCGATGGCTAGGTGGTGGTCGGTAGACGTTGGTTTTTGGGGATGGCTGGGTTGGGGTGACGGTGAAGGGGTGGGGCTGGAGGGAAGGGGGGATAGGGTGATTAGCTTTTATTTTTTATATATTTGATTTTAATTTTTTAAAATTATTTTAAAAGAAAATAATAATTTGTGGACCGAATTGCCCCTTCATAATTAACAAAAGTTAAAAAAATTTGACAGAAATTGAAAAATTGAAATAACATATACCAAAGTGATAAAAGTGACAAACTAAAGGGACCAAAAGTGACTTTTGGACATAAAAATATGCTCATGTGCTTTCGTGCAATGCCAGATAGAAACCCAGCGTAAACTTGGTAAGAGCTGGCTTATTTAAGTACAGAGATGGCAAGAAAACTAACCAAACCAACAAGGCCTCTTGATTCAGAGCCAGAACTATCTGCCCTCACAACAGCTTCCTTAGCGGAGATCAATTCGTAAATGACAACTCCAAACGCATAAACATCTACTTTGGGAGAAACTTTGCCATACTGAGCATATCTGTACGCAAAAATATTAGGAGTTAACCCATATTTGCAGAGAATAGCATACTTAAGTTTGCCTTTTTCCCCCCTCTTAGAAGGAGTTTATTGCATCAACATACAGCCCAACATCGGATAGGAAACACATCAAAATACCGACTTTCAAGGGAAACAAATTGGGCTGGAAGAACAGAACCATTCTCGCTATTCCAGCAGGATTCTATATTCCCAGATATAAATGAATATCTCAGCACCTTAAGACCTCTTGTATCTCTGACAGAAGCTGGAGGGGCAAACTAAAGAACTCTAATGACATTTGACAAAGTAGCAATAAGCCACTCTGGATATTTATCTTACAATTACATATGTCCACTAAAGAGTGCACAATCTTCAGGCCCCTTCAGCCATCGGCTTACAGGTCAGGGGATGATGGCAGGAAAAAAAAAAAAAGGCAATCAGAATAGCCACTAATTGAGCTTACGATAGGTCATTCCAGCAGATTTGGTCCCCCCAAATTTCAACAAAGGCAATCTGTTCAGGATAAAAATTTGCTAGAGATGTAGTAGATAAAGAGTTAAAAGAACATAGAAAAAATATCTTACTCCGGCGACAAGTATCCAAATGTTCCCACAAGACGTGTGGGGAGTGATGCACTTCCAACCTCAGTCAGTTTAGCTAATCCAAAATCTGCAACCTGCAATAAAAGAGAAATTTCATTGCAACAATGTGAACAAGCTTTCAAAAGTTCGTAGTGGAAATATAGGCACTAAAGTAACCTTGGCATGGAAATTCTTGTCTATCAGTATATTGGCTGATTTTATATCCCGGTGGATATAAGCAGGAACAGTATACTCATGAATGTATTCAAGACCTCTTGCTGAATCTAGGGCAATCTGCACTCTATTAGACCACGGTAGTGGGTCCCTCCCTGGAAAAAAAATTAAACGGTATTATTACCATTCTCCTGCGTACAGAAGCACTTAGAAGCACTAAAATCCCCATCATGCACAGCCTAACCTGAACCACGTAGATGTTGGCTTAAGTTTCCACTCTCAATGTATTCATAGACTAGGAAAAGAGAGCCCTCAACGCAATAACCAATCAAGCGCACCTGCATTTATTGTCTAGAGGATTAGAAATAATCAAACGTCTTAGAGATCCGTTATGCAACGGCTACAAGTACTGTAGTACCAGTATAACCTCCAACTAGATTTAATGGACGACTAACTAAAAATTCTTCTCAGAGAACATTAAATTTATTCATAATAGTATTTCTATAAATGCAAAATCAGAGTTAAGTATAAGTAACAAAGCACATTGCATTGCCGCATTTATATACTAACACACTTATCTTATAACATCCTTTTTCTTAGTCCAGCTGTCTTTCCAGTACTTACATAAAATAAATTTCTCTGATCACATACTTAACCTCTGATTTCTGAGCTACTAGGCCATACTTGCAACCTGATAAGGGTTTGTTGGTTTACCACTAGTCCCAAAAACTTAAAGTTGTCATGATGTGATGTGGAATCAAACTTATATTGGGATATCGGAAATAAAAGGATTCTAGGAGATTCTTTTCAAAATGTATCAAAAATAGACACATACAAAAGCTCTTCTAGTAAAGTCCAGCAATTCTTTAAAAAATATGCTAAGCAAATATGTGGATTAAAATTGCTAAGTGAAGAGAAAGCATCAATTACTTCATAATTCTTCTGCAAGATTCACGTACATTGTCATTGTTTGGAAAGATAAGTTCATTACCAGATTCAAATGATGTACACGAGTCAAAACATTTAATTCGGCAAGAAATTCTTTTGAGGCTCGCATATCCATCTTCTTGATTGCAGCTTTCTGCAAAGAGAGAGTTATAGGGGTTGGACTTCTTTTTTTTGGTCAATAAGAACTTTCATTAACAGGAGAGCAACCCAACAGATTACAACTCAAAGAGAGGGAAAGCAAAGCCATGAGACAGAAACAGAAGTGCATGCACTGCAAATAAAACTCAATAGACTCAATAGACCTCATGAGCTTGGCATATGGGACATAATGGGGTTCGAGCAATTTTGCATTTGTGGAGAGCCATTGCCGTAGGTAGGGGTTGGAATTCTAGGAGAAGAAATAAACAATTACAGCTAATGCTCGCACATTAGCTCATAAATAGTACTAGCGAATTAGCAAAGTAGAATAGATGCTAATGTGCATTAAGGCACAGTTTCACAACTCCCTGGATCAGGAAATTGGAGTAGGAATGTTGTAAAGGGAAACACCTTCATCTTTAATCTAAGCAAATGAAAAAACATTGTCTGACACTCTGAGCTAGTTTTCACTCATTTGATAAATCTCTCTTCCAACTTACGTGTTCAATTCCCTTCGACTAGAAAATTCAGAGCAAAGTAGATTATAGTCACAGGAAAGTAGTTTTATGTATTCAGCTATGTCTTTTATGAAGTAGCTCTCAAAAACATGCTAGTTATTTGATAATATATCAAAACTTTCACTTTCTTCAACCTAAAAGAATTACATAATGGTCCTAGTCCCCATACGATTTCCATCCAACTAAAGGATAAAAACACCATGAAACTTGAGAAAATTTTCTTTTACAGTCCACTATGATACTTGAGAATATTAAGGGAAACAAACCTCGGCTCTCAGCTCTGCATAGTAAACAGCTCCGAAACCTCCTTGTCCAATCTTATTAGCCAGACTGAAGTTATCAGTCGCCCTGGAAAGTTCTTCGTATGAGAACTCCACTGATTTGTCCACGGAAATGCCTGTTGGGCCTCGACCAGCACCATTTGATTCTTCAGGCTTATCTGTGGTAATCCCAAGGGATAGACCAAGAAGAAAAAATCAATGAAGTCATGTCAAATATCCATTTGGTGCCAAAACCATGGAGTGTATGAGGGCAAGAACTAGTAAATACAATAAGTTATTTGCAATTATGTGCAAAAAAATGATGCTGGACAAAGAAAAGTTTCCAGTTTGTTCAACAAAAATGTGTTAGCGAGATCCTAGCTTAATTAAGATATTTATTTCCTAGTTTATTAGGACTATATTTCTTTTCTTTTATACAGATATTGTGTAATTAGGATTTTATCTTGTTTTCTAGTTTGACCCTACTAGGGTTACATCCTTGTATTATAAATACCTCCTTTTGGAGAATGAAATACAACCTAAAAAATATTCTACCCGTATTATTTGACTTGGCATCAGAGCCAACCTTTCTAGTGACCTGTGTGTTGTGCCCACCCGTGTTTTAGCCCTAAATGTTTTCTCTACCTGTGCCGTGTGTGCCCCCCTAGGTTTGTGTGTTGTGTTGTAGTGTTCGTGCCATTCTTGTCTTCGTGCATATGTCGTATTTGTGCATCTGCTGTGTTTCGTTGTATACTTTGTCGTGATCTGTTGAGTTTCTGCTGCAATCATGGATGATAACTCTATTGTTGGTGCTGTTGTTGCTGCTTCTGTAAATTTGTGTGTTTTTACTCTATTCCAGGTACTGGCTCCAATACTTGGATAATTGACACTGGTGCTTCTGATCATATGACTTATGATGCTAAATTTTTTGATGAGTTGTCTAGTAACACCTGTAACCCATACATAACTAGTGCTAATGGCTTGCCCTCTCCAATTATTGGCGAGGGCACCATTTCTCTCACCCCAACTCTGTCCTTGTCTCATGCGTTATTAGTTCCCAATATCCCGATAGCTCAAGCCAAGGAACCTAGGTCTCATCAGAGATCCAAACACATAGAAAAATGTTACCATTAGATGGGGCATCTGCAAACAACGTAACTGATCCACGCACTAAGCCTATGTCACAGTCACAACTGGATAGACATACAGAGATAATGTGTATGAGATGCATGGCTATGTGGCTCTAGTGCAAGTGGGAGATTGTTAGAAATGTGCCCTAAGAGCCAATACATTTGATGTAATCTCCTTAGAATACATTTCGTATATGATATATAAAGGGCAAACTTATTTGTTATCTTTTACATTGTGTAAAGAAACAAATGTCCAAGGTATGCTATATAAGAGATAAAGTAATCTAAAGAAGATTAGATTCATGAGACCTTTAATCTCTAACTGTAGCATCCCAAAATGTTCCTAATCATATGTTATCAAATGGGCATTGATAAACCGTCAAGATTAGCGCATATTATGTATGCTCAATTGGGAGGATGGTTAGTCTCGAACCATTTGTGTAGTTGACATTAATACAAGTATGTGGGTGCTCATTAGTGAATGAGTACACTGAACGCGATCAACCGGTGTTCTCGTATGGAGTATTTATCTATATGTCAAACGAGAACTTATAGTTGCAATAATGCAAATTAGTCCTTAGACCTGGGGCATCATGGTTGTCCTGTGATGCGTTATTGATTTTTGATAGCTCTTAAAGGCAAGCCGTAAAAGATTTGTCTTAAGTGTTTTTGGGATCTCTTAATTCATCATAGGGGCATGTGAATGTACAATAAGGAATCTCTACTTTCGATAAAGAAGGAGAGTGTTTCAAGATGTGATTCAGTAAATCTTTGGCCAAAGTATTTTTGAGCTTGATTTAGAAAGTTGTTCTTAATCGTGTTCTTTTGAATCACATGAGGTTATAAATCGTATTAGGGGTTTGACATAATCAATCCGTACCCTAATAATATGATTTGAAACATTGTATAAGAGAAGGATCGTATTGCATTGCAATTCCAACTGAATAGGTTCTTCATCTATTCTAATTAGCTTGGGTAGCCATGATATATTGTTAGATGTCACTCTTGGCTTGTGGAAGTCCTAGGATTGATTGTGATCGATCCAAATAAAGGAAGAATTAAAAAGGGGTTTTAATTCCAGTTGGTTAGAAAGAGTTCTAATATTTTCCCACTTCCTTGCTAATTAGAACCTAATGGATCGCACACCTTAAATGGTTAACTTTGAGTAATACAAATGAGAATGAGGAAATCAATTTGATTGATTTGATGTGGATGATTTACTACGTGTAAAAACGTATTTGGGCCTCGATAATAGTTAGAGGGAAGTCCAAATGGTTGGGTATCAAGCCCAAGGGCTTAAGACACCTAAATATTATGGTTTAAGTGTCATAAGGCCCAATTTTGGAAGCCCAATGGGGTTTGGCCGAAAATGGTTAAGTGCATGTGTATGGGAATTGTTTCCATAAGCTCATTAACACAAAAACACAATCCAACATCAACTAAATAGGTTTGGGAGATCAAAGAGAGAAAAAGGAGAGTTTTCAAGAGTGAAATACTTTCATTTTTCAAAGTGGTTTAGATTGAAACCAATCTTGAGAATCTTGCACTAGCATCCAAGTATTCTCAAGATACTTCTTCTCATCTCAAGGTTCCATTGGTGTGGAGACTTAGAGGCCATATACTTTTGTGGCTCACATGGAGGAGAAAGATTAAGGAGCAAAGATCAAAGAGGAGATCAACAAAGAGGAAATCATCAAGAGAAGACCAAACACAAATTGGTTCATATAATTGCTTCAAGGGTAATTAGATCTTATCCTTTCTCTTGAATTTTCATTTATGAAAAACATATCAATGTTCATGGCTTAAGATACTTGGAAGAAGTTTTGTTTTTGGATTTAAACAACCACCTTAGACTTCCGCTGCGATTAATTTGATTAAATGCATGTTTAATATTCAAATGAACTTTGGAAAAATGTTTTGGAAATTCCTACAGAGTCATCGCATTGTGTTTCCTTTGAGTGACAGTAAAGTTGCGAAGCCTTTTGATTTAGTGCATTCTGATGTGTGGGGTCTGGCTCGCGTTACTTTGAACGGATTTCGTTGATTCATCACATTTATTGATGATTGTATCAAACTCACTTGGGTTTTCTTGGTGAAAAATAAACATGATGTTGCTTCCATCCTTCCAGAGTTCTGTACTATGGTGTTTACTCAGTTTCATGCTTAGGTCAAAGTATTCCAAACTAATAATGGAGACGAATATGTGAATAATACTTTGGCGTCTTTCTCCATGCTCAATGTATTATTCACCAAACGACAACCCCTTAAATGGTGTGTCTGAAAGAAAGAATCGAAAATTGCTTGAAGTTGCCCGCTCACTCATATTGGATATGTCTGTTCCCCATCATCTTTGGGGGCATGCTGTTATGTTTGCTATCTATTTGATTAATTGTACTCCTAACCAAATTCTTGATTTCAAGACTTCACACGATGTGTTTAGTGACCATGTTCCCCCTGTCTCCGTCTCCAAGTTGCCTCCTAAAGCTTTTGGGTATGTTGCCTATATTCATGTATACTCTTATCAACAGAGTAAACTTGATCCTTGTGCTCTCTGATGTGTCTTTATTGGTTACTCTTCTATTCATAATGGTTATAAGTGCTATCATCCATCTACCCAGAAAGTGCATGTTACTTTGGACGTGACTTTCCATGAAGAAGTGCCCTATTATGTCTCTCCCTCCTCTCCAATTCAGGGAGAGATGGGGAGTGAATTGGAGAATCTTGGACTTGAAAGGAGAATAATGTGTTTGAAGATACTGCTCTTAGGAAGGAAACAACTAGTCGCGTTGAAGCAAGTGACCGGTCGGCCATATTTGAAGATGAAACATGTGGTCTTTGTGAAGAAACGACTAGTTGCCCTTTGGAACTTGACCGGTCGGCCATATCTGGAGATGAAACAGGTGCTCTTAGTGTTGAAACGACCGGTTGCACTGAAGCAAGCGACCAGTTGCCTGTATATGAAAATAGTGATAGTAATTCTTGTATGGATGAGTTCGACGCAATACCCCCATTTGCCCTGCCGGTGCCCCAATCTACTCGTGACAGTGAATTAAGTGAGGTAATTTCTAATGATCTATCTATGTCAACTTATCAGTTACCCCCACAAACCACTCGTGGGAAACCTAAAGTACAATATTCTCCTGATATACATGCCAAGTCTAAATATCACATTAGCCATTAAGTGTCAACTCATCGTTTGTCTACGTCATATGCATCATATTTGTGTCAATTATTTAGTGTATGTGTGCCAACTAAGTTGCATGATGCTTTATCTAACTCCAAATGGATGGATGCTTTGAACAAGAATAAAACATGGGATTTAGTTCCTTTGCCACGAGGGAAGAAAGCTGTTGGATACAGATGGGTGTTTACTTTGAAGCATAAGGCTGATGGTTCTATTGACCGTTACAAGGCTAGATTGGTAGCAAATGGTTATACTCAAACCTATGAAGTGGATTATTTGGAAACCTTTGCTCCAGTGGCAAAGATTAATACTGTGCGTGTACTATTGTCCCTGGCTGCTAACCACGACTAACCCTTATTGCAATTCGATGTCAAAAATGCGTTTCTACATGGTGACCTTAAGGATGAGATTTACATGGATCTCCCTCTTAGTACTCCTGTAACCTCTAAGGAGGGTGTTGTGTGTAAGCTGCGGAAGTCCTTATATGGATTGAAGCAGTCTCCAAGAGCGTGATTTGAGAGATTTGCAGGATCTATGAAGAAATTTGGGTATGTGTAAAGTAACTCAGACCATACTGTGTTTCTAAAGCGTCATAAAGGTAAATTGACAGCTTTAATTATTTATGTTGATGATATGATTGTGACTAGAGATGATCATGCAGAAATGCAAAATCTTAAGAAGTGTCTGGCTTCTGAGTTTGAGATGAAGTGATTGGGTGATTTGAAGTACTTTCTTGGGATTGAAGTTGCCATATCTAAACATGGTATCTTTATGTCTCAAAGAAAGTATATTTTGGATTTACTTGCAGAGATTGGAATGTTGGATTGTAAACCAATTGATACCCCTAGTGAACATAATCATAAGTTAGGGTTGTATCCTAATCAAATCCCTGCAGATAAATAGCGTTATCAACGACTTGTGGGGAAATTGATTTATTTAGCTCATACACGTCCTGATATTGCATATGCAATGAGCGTAGTGAGTCAGTTTATGCATTCTCCTAGTGAAAATCATATGGGTGCTGTGATGCGCATTTTGAGGTATCTAAAAGTAACTTCTGACAAGGGGTTAATATTTTGCAAGAATGGTCATACATATGTGGAAGGGTATACGGATGCTAATTGGGCTGGTTTAGTCACTAATAGACGTTCTATGTCTGGTATTTCACATTTGTTGGTGGTAATCTTATTACTTGGAAGAGTAAAAAGCAAAAAGTGGTGTTTAGGTCTAGTGCCGAGGCCGAGTACCGTGGGATGACTCAAGGGGTGTGCGAGTTGCTATGGTTGAGAAGATTGTTGAGAGATCTTGGGTTTGGATCCCAGAAACCCATGGATTTGTATTGTGATAATAGAGCTGCAATTGCAATTGCGCATAACCCTGTGCAACATGATCGTACAAAGCACATGGAGGTTGATCGACATTTTGTTAAAGAGAAGTTGGATGCTGAAATTATTTCTTTTCCATTTATATTATCTGAGTATCAACTGGTAGATGTTCTTACGAAAACTGTGTCTAGTCTACTACGGTCTTTCTCAACTCGCTTGACAAGTTGGGCATGCGCGACATCTTTGCTCCAACTTAAGGGGGAGTATTAGCGAGATCCTAGCTTAATTAAGATATTAATTTCCTAGTTTATTATGACTATATTTTTTCATTTTGTACAAATATTGCGTAATTAGGATTTTATCTTGTTTCCTCATTTGACCCTACTAGGGTTACATCCTTGTATTATAAATACCTCCTTTTGGAGAATGAAATACAACCTAAAAAATATTCTACCAATATTGTTTGACTAAATGAACCACTAACAAGACTAAATGAATGCTAAATGAGAAGGATGACATCATAAATTATGGGGCTTAGTCAGCTACTCTAATTGGTGTTTCTGCAAAGAGTCAGAGTTAAAAGATACTTGATCAATCCAAAAAGATATTTGAAGAACTCTTCCATTTACAAGTATCTACAAATTAAGGTACAAGGAGAGGAGTAGGTAACATACAGCGCCAAGTCTGAGAAGACTGATCATCAGATGTTGCTAAGGGCAATTTTGCATCCACCTTGTTCTTTCGGTAATATCCAAAATATGCACCACCACCCACTATCAGCACTCCAGCAATTACTGCCACAATTATGGCAGCAATGGCTACACCTCGTTTTTTCGGTAATAAATATTCTGGCATAAACATTAAACTAATAAGCATTAGAATATTGAAATTTCATTGCAACTCTGCAGGGACTATATATTTGGTACATTTAATTCTTCCTAAAATTATGCTCAAAATACTCATATCAATTCATATTCAAGTAAAGCTTCCAGCTTTTAGGCCATACCAAATCAAATCCAATGTGGCTGCCTGCAGAGTTTACCACAAAATCAAACAAATTGACTTTCTGTCTTTATATATCATCCAACTAATTAATTAATGAGATATTTATAAAAATACCCAATTCTAGACATGTATTTATAAAAATACCCAAGCACTATTTAAACATAGAAACATAACCAAAATGGATTTTGGGTATGTGTGTAATGATGAGTTTTTGGTATGTTTATAAATGGGTTTTGAGTGTGTGTAATGATGAGTTTTGGGTATGTTTATAAAGTGTTTTGGGTGTTGGGTATTTTTATAATTTCAGCCCCCATTTTGGGTATTTTAGTGAAACTCCCTTAATTAATTGCAATTGGACACATTTAGAATTTAGAAGCTCTAACCAAAATTAACCATGCACCCCTCATTTTTTCCAATTTAATTGACTTTTTGGTCACACCAAAAAAACAAATCATTTATAAAATAAATAAATAATGACGTGTTAGCACATCATTGGACAAGTCCAAAAGCCCCGCTGCGCCCAACTGTGACTTTTCCACTTAACTTGCCCGTCAAAGACCACGATTAAAAAAATTTCAACACTTCAAAAATAAACAGTACCTTGGCAACCCGACCCGAGTTTGAACCCGTCGCCGTCAAACCCAGCGTTGCAGCTGCATCGGCACCCAGGCGGCTTCCCCTCACTGAGCTTCACCGTCGTAGACATGGCATTCAAATGGCATTCACAAGGGCCGTGGACCCACCAACCCAACTGAAGCGTCTCGAACTCGAGCGACAGCAGCGAGTCCCGACCCGACTGAACCGAAAACGACCCGAACAAGAAATTGCACCGGGCCCGATTCAAGCCCTCAACAACCCGACTGAACCGAAAACGACCCGAACAAGTAATTGCACCCGATCCGATTCAAGTCCTCAATTCTCATAATATCGGAGCCGTTAGGCGCCTGTGACATACAGGTGATATTATCGCAGCTCGATAAATTGAACCTCTTCTGAACAAATTCAGCTGGGATTTGGCAGCCAGGGAGTGGAGATGTGCAGTTTTGGAAGAGAAGGTTGTTGTTCAAGCTTGGGCCGAAGTTTGGGCCGAAGAGAGGGTCTATGGATTGGTACCTTCTGTTACATTGTGCAGGGAGGTGGACGAAGATGCTGCTTCTGGTTACGTTTTGGACTGTGAATTCCCCGAATTTGATTTCGTTTTTGTCAGAACAGGTCAATGGGATTACGCATTCTTCGGAGAACCCAAATGGGTACTGAACCGACTTGGCTGATTTTCCCGATCCGCATGTGGTGCTGCAGGAGCTTGAGTTTTGAGCTCTGGCTATGGTGGCTATGGAGGTTGTAGTGATAAGGATGGTGATGATAGTGATCAAAGTCAGAGACTTTTGGTGGAGAACCATCTTCAATTGGGTTCCGAGGAAGCTGGGTGCTTATCAGTCATCAGATTCGTCACCTCTCTGCAAATTAAATTGTTGATTGAAGTGAAATTTGAAAAAGAAGACCAGGAGAGATTCTGGGTTTTAATAAAGATGAAAGCTTGAAAATTGAGCAATTAAATATGACAGTTGAAAAGCCATATGTTTCAATAAATGCTTCTGAGTTCTTAATAAAGATTTTGAGTTTGTTGAGTTATAATTTATGAAAGCTTACCTCTGGTCTGGAGCTTCTTCAATGGTGGTTGGATTAATTGCTCTGGCTCTCCTGTTCAAGGTGTAATTAACTGCTTTGTTTATGGGGATTGGATATGGGCAATTGCATGAAATTAATGGGGTCTCTGGTTCTTCTTAATTCAGCAAAGTTGAATGTTGCTGCTAGCTGAGCTTCTTGTTCATCAAAGCAAAAAGCTTTCTCCTTTTCTTTTCCAAGCCTCTCTGCAACTCCTAAAACGTAAAATACATGTTGCTGCGTCAAATTGTCAATGTGTTGTTTTTGGCTGAAAAGACTTGAATAGGCAAGATGCCTTTTTTATGTTTCTGCAACTAGAAGAAATGTTTTGGTACAGAAATGACCTCGGAGGGAATTGGAAATTACAGATATTGGAATGTTGAGGTCAGCTTGCAAATTATAAATGGTTTGACTGACACAGAGGTTGTGTGTGGACAGCATATGAACACACCATTTTTATTTTATTAGCAAATTGGTTTCATTTGATGAAGGTGGGGAGGTGGGGTCTCACTAGCCCAGCAGCTTCATCTCCACTACATTCCTATATGCCTTTCCTTTTTAAATGAACACACACAAAAACAAAAATCCAGATGCTTTTGGCATGGGCATGTTTTCTCTCTTTTGTGTAATAAGTTTTAGCCTCAAAATTGGAGCAGAGTTGGGATCACAAACTTGGTTAACACGTTTGGTCACTACTACTATGCAGTGGCGAATTCAAGATTTAAAAGCCGCAAAATTTACATATTAAATTGGATAGTACAAGTGAATTTTACTAAGAAATATAAAAGGATGCACCTAGTCAAAGTGATGTAATGAGCAATACCCTCAAATGCATCTCTATACATAAATAAAATCTTAATAATAAAAATAAATAAATAAGAAGTGTTAGAAGGCATGATGATCCATAATTCTTTTTCTTATGAAAAGGAAACAAATTTTTTCTTCTTTTGGAGTTCCAATTATGATTCGACATAATAAAAGATGACCCATGAATAATATGTAGGAATGCTTTTAATCAAACATACCAACAGCAAAATCAGACGAGATTATATGCAATGCACAATATATGTTGCCTTCAATATATTAGCATAAAGATGCAAATAACAACCACATATATTATCAACAAATAACAAAAACGACACAAGTACTGGCTTTAAGATATTTTGGAAGGAAGTATGTGGTTAGCTTTCTGTGCCACAAAGAGACTAAAAGTCTAAAATAATTTTTTCAAAATTTAGAAACATAAGAGTAGATAGCAAAAACTTGAAGTAGAAAGCAAACAGAGAGTAAAAAAGTAGGAGACAAAGAAAATATTATTGGATCTCACTCTGATAAGGATAGCTTGGGCTTATTCCTGTGACTTGTGTGAGTGCTTAGCCTTCAATCCTGATCTTCTTCTTTATACACCAGTCTCTGCAAGATTTCATCTAAGTATGAAAACTGTTATCAACAAATAAAATATCCTAAAAAAATTGATGGTGATAAAAACCTAAATTCATAGCAAGAAGATTCAAAAACCTCATAAATTATAGTCCTTTGAGCAGCTAGCCTCCGCCAATGATGGGCAAAAAGTCAAAACGCGTAAGAAGAAGAGAATGTGGGTGGCGGATGCAGGAATTGCCACTCATGGGGTCATAGTGTAAACTACCCAATAATTTTTTAAGATGAAAAAAAATATTGAAAATGAAACCATAGTACTTTCACTCATAATTAACGTCAAAAACAATATTACAAGAGAGGAGATGGTGGTGGAGGTCTTGGGAAGATTGGGGTTAAGGTTGTTGTTGAAGAGAAATATGAAAATTGGGATTTTGGAGGTCAATTTTCAGGTATGTGCTGTTTAGAAGCTGCGGTCCCTTTTCTTTTTTCTTTTTTTTTTTTAAAAAAAAAATTTATAAAGTCCTAGTCAAAACAACGTCTAGGTCATTTTAAAAAAATTGCCTTGGCCAAAACGACGTCATTTTGCCAAGCAGTTTTTTTTATTAAAAAAAATAGAACCCCAACTGGCCACCGAAGCTTCTTCTTCTCCATGGGGTCGCATCCATCGTTTTGGCTAGGTCATTTTTTTTTAAAATTGCCTTGGCCAAAACGACGTAGTTTTGCCAAGCAAATTTTTTTATAAAAAAAAATAGAACCCCAGCTGGCCACCGAAGCTTCATCTTCTCCATGGGGTCGCATCCATAGCTGTCAAGGGCAAAAACTAGATCTTACCACTAAAATCCAGATCTGCCATGGGGTCATCTGACCCCATGGTGGATCCACCACCGGTGGCTGGCTCTGGATGGACATCTTAGAGATAGGGGTTTTTGGGGGCTATTTTGGGCCGGGCAGCAGCCCAGCATGCCCTTGCTACTATGCATCATCCAAAGCAAAGGCATGCAGCCTCAATCAAAAGACATTGTAGGGCCACAACAAGATTGTAGCTTAAGTTGTTAAAATTAGTTATTCTACATATGAGGTTATGTGTTTGAGTTTATCCTTCCTCAATATCGTTTGTGTTTATACCATATCTAACCAAGCAGATTTAGTAGCCTAAGACAACGACGAACCTACACCCACTGAGGACCAAGTAGGAGGAGTCATCGAAGACGTTAGGGCACATCAGTAAGCCTTGATGACCGACCTCATGCAAGTGGTCTGTCATATACCAATAAGGTACACATCTACCGATTGACACATGTTGCGCCACTATCTTCAAGGCACTCGCTCTCGAAATAAAGACACTTGCCTCACACAAGCCATGCTACTGAAGGGCATTCCTGTTCAATATAAGGACATATGTTAGCACCCTCCTCGTAGGACAAAAGTCCCACATTGACCAAATCATCGAGGAACCTCACTTAAGGCCTCTTGCCCCAATGCATGAGGTAACAATAATTTTGCACATGTACAATTACTCTGCTAAATTACTTACTCATAAACATTTGTTATAACTTAAGCATCGAAGTGCCTTTAATCAGTACCACATCTGTGCCAAGATCTCATGGATCCTCTTCTCCAAATTGCAGATTGATTTCAACCTAGCCGAAAGATTCCAATAATCAAAGATCAAGTGAATTGCAATTGAATCAACTTTTGTCATCAAGTATTAAAACTTTGCTTGCTACAATGTAGTGTACTTAATTTGAACGGAAAAAAATGCCACACCAACCTACCAAAATTTGCAAAGTGGTGTTACATCTCTCACTCCATTGCTTGGAGAAAGACTTTAATAAAACAAGGATAACATTATTTTGCTATATTCGATCAATAACGCTATAACACGCGTGATAACATTTCTACATAATATATTATTATTAGTCGAAAATAGCAAAACTGTATTATCTCTATTACAACTAAGTTTTTCTTCATTGCTTGGTGGCATAGCTTGCCCAAATGTTCGTGCATGTGTTGGCAGCCTTTGGATCTCTCTTGAAAATTGATGTCAAATCCCATAATTCGTTTGACCAATTCAAATGGTGCCAAACCTTTCGAGGGGTCATTTTCGGAAGAAATACAAAACCAAAAACGAAGTTTAATGAAAAGCTCGTAAAATTTTAATTGAAGTGTCTTTTTTAATGATTAGTTTTTGCAAAATTGGCTGCCGTGACGAATAAGGAGGTCAAGGTGTTTGACGATAATACCCACGATGGCCGAAGTTGTTGACCATCGAATCCCACTCTCCATCACGGGAAGGAAGAAAACTGTGGCATTTTCCACTCTACCAATTATAGGGTAAAATTGAGAGGCATCTATCAGTGGACGGCTCTAGATTTGTATAATGAATAGTGAGACTAAGTGAGTTTAGTCATTTGCCATGATAAAATATATTTCTTGCTCCCACCACAAATCAAACATCGTGCAGCTTTCATATTTGATTCTAATCATCACTAGAAATCATAACGTTCGACCACAAAATTTGAGAAATTATCCACCACATATACGACCCAAATTATGTGAGGGAAGATGAAAAGAAATACTATATGTTGGAAAAATATTTAGGGGCTATATAGATTTTAAAAGACTATTTATGGATAAATAAGTTCAGTGGATTTTAAAAGACTATTTATGAATGTAATGACTGATAAGATTTTTTTAAAAAGATTTTTGTAATTAGGATTTGTTACGTTTGGATTTTAAAAGATTTATATCATAAGAATTTATAAGATTTGAAAGGACCACGTAGATTTTTTACTTTTATGATGCTAACCAACCAACTTTTAGTCGGATGATGAGCAATGTCGGTCTAGTTCAATGATGCACATATTCTCCAGGAACAGCCTCTACAAATTCTTAAGCTTTCCAAATGATGGTGGAATTTTTCCTTCCAAAAGGTTTATTATTATTATAATTATTTTTTTAGGACCTTTCCTATTAAGAGGGCGATAGCATACTAAACTCACACACACACCACATATGTTGTGACTCAAATCGAGGACCTTTCTTAGAGGGAGCATTTGCTCCAAACCACTACACTAGTGGGTGTTTTGCAACCCCTGCTACAAATTAAGTTAGACACTAATTGTAATTTCCATTATGCAATTAAGGGGTTAGGCATTGACTTGACTTAAGTAATTGAATAAATTTGGAGTTTTCAATTAGTTTGGATCACACTATATTGATTGACTTGATAGACAAAAACAAGCTGCACACTGAAGAGTATACAAATCAGATAATCACTTTTTCTTTTTTCTTTCTTCTTATTTCAATAATTTCTAATTTTATATTGGAGAAATTTTTTGAGGGTGCACTAAGTGGAACTGAAATTTTTGTTGTTGTTGTTGTTGTTGTGCATTTGAGCAAATTCTGGCAAGACAATAGTACCTACTCGAATTTTGGCCAAATATTTCCTAATTTTCTTCCCACGCAACTGTTAACCTAGACTAGACTTGAGAATTGAGATGGTGATTTGCCTTCCAACACACACTAAACTCTTTCTCACTATTGTCTTGCAGTTGTTGGCTCGGCTTGACTTGACTTGAGATGGTTGGTAACGGTGCCTTTCCGTGTCCACCCAACCTTTTAAATTTGCCTCCCATCCAAGGTGGGGCACAAGCTATAATTATCTTCTTGCAAATATGGACCTTGACTTAACTGAAACATATGTCTACCAACCCAATATTATTATTGTACGTATATATTTATTGATACTTATATAGTAAAGCATAAATCTTCTACCAATCACATATTAAAAATAAGATAAATTAATATTACATGC